GCCTGGGGTCCCAGTGGGGTGGGTCAGTGGCCTTCCTCGTGCTGTTTCTGTGCAGGGGAGACGCCTGGGGTCCCAGTGGGGTGGGTCGGTGGTCTTCCCTGTGCTGTTTCTGTGCAGGGTTGTATCTGCTGGCCCATGGGGGGAGACGCTTGGGGGTCCCGAGGCAGCGCTGACCATCAAGCCTCCGCTGACCACCACCCTCCCTCGTGTCCACCTCCAGGACGGGCCACATGCTCACCCACCAGAAGACCAAGCCCTTCGTGTGCATGGAGCAGGGCTGCAACAAGAGCTACTGCGACTACCGCTCGCTGCGCCGTCACTACGAGGTCCAGCACGGGCTGTGCATCCTGAAGGAGGCGCCCCCTGACGAGGACGGGGACGAGCCCGCCAGCCAGCCGGCGCCGGGCGGCCTGCGCACCCTGGTGTCCCCGGAAGCCAGGTCCCCGGGCTCCCTGCTGCCCAACCGGGACCTCCTGTGCTGCATCGTGAGCAGCCTCGTGCACCAGAAGATGCCGCCCGCCGGCCCGGCCGCCCCTGCAGACGCCGAGGCCAGGCCTGCAGCCTGCCCTGGGCCGGCCGCGGTGAGCCCGGAGCTGGAGGCTCCCGAGGAGTCTCAGCCGCCCCGCAAGGAGCCGGCCGGCGCCAGTGGCTTCACGGGCATTCACCCCAGGGCCAGGGAGAGCAGGGTGCCCGAGGCCCCCGAGGCTGAGCCGCCCGTCCTCCAGCTCCCAGCCACCCTGGACAGCTGGCCCGACGGAGGGCCCCTGCCTGCCTGCCTGCCCCTGTTCCGAGGCCAGCCCGTGTCCACCAGCTCGCAGCCGGCCAGCACCAACTTCCAGTGGCTCCGGAACCTCCACGGTGGCCCCAAGAGCAAAGGCAACAACGTGTTCATGGTGCACAAGCCCCCCGTGGCCGCAGCCCGGGAGGGCCCCGAGCCAGAGGTCTTTGGTGTCTTGGCCTCCGGCCAGGAGGACCCCCAGAGTGACACCCGAGGGGCCAGCATGGAAGAGGACACATGGAGCTCCAAGAAGAGCAGGCTTGAGGGGGACTCGTCATCCTATCAGAGCCCCGGGGAGCCCTGCCCGCAGGACACCCCGAAGGCCAGCGGGCTGCCGGCCGAGGCCACGCCGCTCATCCGGCAGCTCTTCCTGAAGTCGCAGGAGTCCCTGGTGGGCCACGAGCAGATGCAGGTGTTCCAGATGATTAGCAAGTCTCAACGCTTCATCTCCCACGCCCAGGTGGCCGCCGCTGCCCAGCTGCCCGGGCCCGAGGCCAAGCCTACCACCCGCAAGCCACCGGCCGCGGCCTGGGCCCAGCAGCCCCCCACGCCGGCCCCCGCTGGGGACTTGGAGCCAGAGGGGTCCCCGGCCCGCAGGAGGAAGTCCACGCCCGCCTTCCCCGGGGAGCCTTCCCCCGGCAGCCTCCGGCGAGACAGTAGAGGACCCAAGGTGGCCACCGCTCCTTCGGCCCTCCCAGCCACCGCTATGGACGCTTCTGCCAAGCCAGACATCTCTGTGTCCAAGCAGCTACGATCTGCAAAAGGGACTTTGGACCTGGGGGACATCTTCTCCCCGGCATGCCCACGGCAGAGCCAGCTGGGGGGCGACGAGGTGCCCGGCACCCAGCTCCCAGGGAAGCCAGCCCCGGCCGAGAACGGCACCACGTCGGGGGCCACCAAAGGCGACAAGGGCCCTGCCTGCTCGCGGGGTGCCAGCTACCATCTCTTCTCAGGCAACCCCAGGGGCCAGCGCTTCTCCGGCTACCGGAAGGAGAAGGTGAAGGCCGATGTGTGCTGCGCGGCGTCCCCGAGCCAGGTCGCCATGGCCTCTTTCTCGTCGGCTGGGCCTCCGGCTGAGCCCCCGCAGGACACCAAGTCCAAGCTGACCATCTTCAACAGAATCCAGGTACCCGCACTGCCAGGGGCGGGTGGGTGAGCAGTGGCCCCTTAAGGCCCAGGTTCCGTCTGCCGCTTGTCAGCTTCTGTCAAAGAGCCCTGGTGGGCCAGCGGTTAAATGCTTGGCTGCTAACCGAAAGGTCGGCAGTACAAACCCACTGACCACTCCACGGAAGACCAATGAGGCGGTCAGCTCCCGGAAGGGTTCCCATCTGCTCTGTCATGCCGAGGTGTTGGGAGTCAGGACGGAGTGACAGCAACAGGAGGTGTTTTTTTAAGCATTCTTGTTGCTAAGGTCTCCGGGGTGACCCAGACAACTTTGTGCTCAACTGCTAACCTGAAGATTGGTGTTATGAGCCACCCCTGCAGCGCCCAGGGAGAAAGACCAGGCTGATATGCTGCTTCCGTCGGTTCCAGCCGAGGAGACAAAAAGCCCTCGGAAGCAGTTGAGCCCCGTAGTACACGGGGTAGTGCACGGGGTCGCCGTGGGCCGAGTGGACAGATGGGTTTGAGTTTACTGTCTCTAATCCATTTGCCAAGATGCGCAAAGGATGTCTCCAAGTCTGTGTCTCGTCTTTTCGCTTTCTTGGTGGCGTTCATCCTATGAAGCACAAAAGTTTGCCATTTTCCTCACAGCCAGTGTCTCCTGTGTGTATGTATCTCTGTCTGTGTGCCTCTGCGTGTGTCTCCCATCTGTCTGTCTCTTGGCGTGAACGTGCGTGCACACACGCTTTGACTTCCTCTCTGAAACCATGACCTGATCCAGTGTCGTGAAAGCTCACCCCTCTGTCCTCTTAAGAGTTGGATCATTTCAGTCCTGTTCATTTAGCGTCCCCTCACCCCCACGGCGTGTGGCCTCAGCTCTGCTGTCCTCCTCAGGGTGGAAATATCTACAGGCTCCCTAATCCCATGAAGGATGAGAACGTAGTGGGCAGATGGTAAGTGAAGTCCTCCAGGGGCCCCTGGTTTCCCCTGGGGGTGGGCTTGGTGTGCACTCAGCCCTGAGGGGGGTGAACCTGACTCTGAACAGTGAGGGGGGCTGGCCTGCATTTCTCAGAGTTCTCATCAGGAGTTGTCAAGGACTGGACTTCAACAGCAGAAGCCCAGTGACTGGGAACAGAGCCCCGACATCCTTTCTCCCCTCCTTCTGCGTAACCCGCAATCCCAGCCCCCCGCTCTTGCGTGGATTCTATTTAGAATGGGATGTTGGAAGGCAGGAGGAGCTGCCTGGCGCACCTCTAGGGCCTCGATCTTTCCGAGAGCCGACTGTCACGTCTTTTTTTCTCATGGACCAGCCCGTGGGTTTGAACCGCTGCCCTCCTGGTTAGCAGCGCACACCACCAGGGCTCCTCCTTCTGCCCACAGTAGCCAGCAGAACGGGGGCTCCTCTGAGTGGACAGAGTCACGGAACACGTACGTCTGCAAGAACTGCAGCCAGATGTTTTATACGGAGAAGGGCCTGAACAGCCACATGTGCTTCCACAGCGACCAGTGGCCGTCGCCGCGCGGGAGGCAGGAGCAGCAGGTGACGGGCGCCGGCGTGGACGTGCCGACGGGCTGGGCAGTGACCGACGGGGTGTCGTACGTCTGAGGATGAGGGCGGCGGCATCCTGGGGGTCAGGTCACTTGGGTCCAGCTGCATTCCTACCCTTCCAGGCTTAACTGCCTGGATGTTTGTGGCAGCTTTTTCCTCAATTTATTAACATTATTATTAAATTATTATCTGTTTATTAACGGGTTGTTATTATTAAGTTACTGTGATTCTTCTGTAGATGATAGAGCGAGCCGCTTTTCAACACCAGTGGGTACGTGTTAGGTGTTGCAGCCTTGATTACCGTCCCATGTGGAGCAGCACTCCTCCCACTCTATCCCTGTGATTCCCATTTCCATTCAGCCTACTGTCCTACCCCCCTTCCTGAGCTTTGTCCCTGGGCAGAAGCTGCCCTTTTGATCTCACATTCCTCTTTGATGTCACTCACCACTTTATCAGCTTGTATGTTGTTTGGGCCGAAAGTTGGATTCATTGAAATTGGGTGAGATCAGTTCTAGACTTAAAGGGCCCTGCTCTCAGGAGCTCCACGAGTCTCTGTCAGACCCAGCCCACGACAGCATTGCTGGCACATCCTTTCCGCAGCTGGTCTTTCTCTCAGTCTCTGGGTGGTGCAAATAGTTAACAGGCTCAGTTGCTAACGGAAAAGTTGGAGATTGAAGTCTACCCACATACTTCAGAATGAAGGCTTGATGGCATCTGAGAACCCAGCCCCGGACAGCTCTATGGGGCACAGCTTGGGGTCACCAAGGGTCCAAATCGATCCACTGGGTTGAGGTTATGGTTCAAGATCTGTCTGTTCTCTTTGTCTAGGCGTTTGGCTCAGACGTTTGCAAGGCAGCAAGGGAGGTGCCAAAGCCAGACGGGGATGGGCAGAGCTCCCCAGGAGCCAGCAAGCCAGTGGACAGCGGAACAGCAACCCCTCTGGTGATCCCCATGTCGGTGCCGGTGGCTTCTGGGACCAGGCTCCCAGGCAGCTCAGCCAAGGTGGGTTTAGATGCTCCTGCCTGTCTCCCCACCTCTTGAGAATGATGGAAAGATGGCATACAGACACCCACAAAACCCCTAACTCCAGGCCCTGGTTTAGTTGTCCATATTGATTCATTTGACCCGCTCTGTGTACCTTCTGTGCTACGGACACAGCCGTGACCATGACCCTGGCTTTGCTCTCTTGCATTTCCTGATTTATTGGGTAACACAGAACCTTCCTCATACAGACAGAATCCAGAGTAGGGAGAACTCAAGGGGTTACCTAACCCAGCCTGGGGAAGTCAGGGAGGGCTTCTTGTAGGAGCAAGCATTAGAGCTGAGACCTAGAAGATGAGGAGGAAGGCGGTTGGCAGAGAGGAGGGGAGATTGCTTGGAAGTGAGCGAGAGCATTGTTACGTTCCAGGGATGGGTCTTGGGGGATTGGAGCCCACTCTGGGGAACTCCTGTCCCGCCTAGGATCTCGCTGGGCCTTGGGATGGAGCGTATGGACCTGAAAGTCACCTGAGTCTGTAATTGAGCTCCTTCAATTAACACAACAGTTAGGAGCTCTGGTGGCCTAGTGGCAAGAAGCTGCACTGCAATCCCAGGGGTGCGGGGTTCAAAGCCACTAGATGCTGTGCTGGAGAAGGAGGAATAATCTAATCTCTCCTGTACCCATCAGATCTGGTTTGACAGTATACACATACAAAATAATAAAAAATAGAGGAGATCAGACATGGCTTCCTCTTACACCATTTAACACAGCAACTGCTGTCATTTAGTCAGGCTTTTGCACTGACGGGTCTTCAGTCCTTACATGCTGGACGTTGTAAGGGCCCAGACTGTCCTCGCCTGGTTGCAGAGGAACTAGGAACTAGGCAAGGATGCCCACTATCGCCTCTCCTATTCAATATGGCTTTGGAAGTCTTAGCAATCGCAATAAGGCAAGAGAAGGAAATAAGAGGTATCCACATTGGCAAAGAGAGGTAAGGTTATCACTCTATGCAGATGATATGATAGTGTACTTGGAAAATCCTAAAGACTCAGCAAGAAAAACTACTGGATATAGTTGACCAATTCAGCAAAGTGGCAGGATACAAGATCAACATACAAAAATCAATCGGATTTCTTTACAGTGACAAAGAAAATACAGAACTGGAGCTAAGAAAAACAATACCCTTCTCAATGGCTAAACACAAGATTAAATATTTGGGAGTATATACTGTGTCGGGTTGGGACATCTGGGGATGTGATGTGCAGGCCGCAGCTTGGTGTCCCTTGCAGTCCCAGGCCTGCTGTAACGTTGTGGGTTTGGGTTGTAGTCTGGTACTTGAAGGACCCTCACCGGCCTCTTTGCTTCAGGGTCCTGGCGCAGACAGCCTCAGGGTGTGGGCCCCCTTTCCCTCCGCCTACCCATCAGGTGCCATCCCAAGGCTGGGCAGTGTGGTGGTGGGTGTCTGAGCCCCCTGTGGTTCTGAGCACCCTTCTTCCCCAGGGACAAGAGAAGGACGGGGCCGAGCGAGACGGTGAGGAGAGCAGCCAGCACAGGAAACGCAGGAAGCGCCCCAAGCCAGTGCTTGTCCCTCCGCTGCCCTCCGCCTCTGGGGACCTGGGCCCCCAAGGGTATCACCAGAGCTGCCTGCGGTCCCCCGTGTTCCTGGTGGACCAGCTCCTGAAGGGCCTCTTGTTCCAGTGCTCGCCCTACACGCCGCCCCCCATGCTCAGCCCCATCCGCGAGGGGTCGGGGCTGTACTTCAACACCCTCTCTTCCACGGCCACGCAGCCCAGGCCCGGCCCCGACAGTCTCTTCAGCACTGTGCTCAGTGAGTGAGGACGCGCCCTTCTCTCTGGGCCCACCGTTTAGGGGGTCTCCCCGCCCTGTGCCATGTGGCCCAGCAGTTCTCTCAGACCTCTAGGGTTTCTGACCCGAGGGTCCTATTGCTGTTAAGAAGTGTCCTGGGAAGGTTCCGGGATCCCAGCAATGTTCTCGGTGCTTGAGAGCCCTTTAGCCAGAAAGAAAACAAAGAGGCCATTCAGCCTGACTGCCCTTCTGTGTCAGAGAGAGAGAGAGAGAGAGAGAGAGAGTCAGTCTGTGTGAGAGAGAGAGAATTGTTTGCAAGTTTGTAGATTTATTTGACAGTCAGCTGTTTTCATTTATGTTGACTGTAGGTTTTTTAAAGTGGTGACAGGTGCATAGGGTAACCCTTGAATTGAGCTTGTCTAATGACTCTTCATCCTCATTTACATCTTTTGGACAACTTTTCACAGAAGCAGTATGGGACGCTCCTTATTCCTTTGGCCCAGATAGATAGCTTTGCTGAGCCTAGTGTTCGTGTCCGCCTTGTGCCCGTCTCCTTCACGGCAGATTTCCAGAGCCTTAAGTCCTAACTTCGTCATCATCATTATTATTAGTGTGTGTGCCGTCAAATCGGATCTGACTGGTACAGGAGGAGATTGTTTCTCCTCCTCCAGCACAGCATCTGGTGGATTTGAGCCGCACACCTCTGGGATTGCAGTGCACCTTCTTGCCACTAGGCCACCAGAGCTCCCTGAGTCATAACTTCTTCCTGCCCAGTCTCGTGTGGGCTTGTGAGTGATGAGGGTGTCCTCAGCGGTCACAGCTTTCCTTAACAGCAGGACGGTCCTTCTTTACGGGGGTCATGATGCCAAGACCAGGCTGGAGGAAATGCATTGTCTGTGATTTTCCCCCCCCTCCCCATATAGCTCTTTAAAGATCTGATACATACACCATAGAAGCCACCCATTAAACATATACATTACATCATTCTTTGTATATCCCCGGGGTTGCACACCCACCTTCACAGTTTTAACTTCAGAGCAGTCTCCCCACTCCCCAAAGACCCCACTCTCCAAAGACGCTCCACCCTTTGAGCAGGCACCACCCTCCCACCCCGCAGCCTCCAGCCTGCAGCCTCCCAGCCGTTGGCAGCAGCCACTCTGCTTTCCAGCTGTCTCTAGACTGACTTCTTCCGGACAGTTCGCATAAATGGAAGCGGACGTTCTGTGACCTTTCACGTCAACGTCCTTCCTACAGTATTTTCTGTTCTGTGTAGCACGTAACAGGCCTTCGTTCCTTTTATGACTGAACGAAGGAGGTGTTTAGCGGCATTTCACAAGTTTTAGGGATCTGTGCTTTCATCTTTCTCAAAGTGGTTTTGAAATGTCTCCTATGATTTCTTCTCTGATGCGTCGTTTATTTCGAAATGTGCTAATTTCCACCTATTAGTGAGTTTTCCCCATTTGCCTCTTGCTGCCGATTCCTGATTTCATTCTGACGTGGCCACAGCTGCTTTGTGTGACTGGAGTCCTTTTATATGGATTGCGGCATGTTTCCTGGCCGAGGGTCGGCTCTGTCCTGCAGAATGTTCTGTGTGCACCTGAGGAGAATGTGTGTTGTGCTGATGGTGGGTGGAATGTTCTGGAGAGGTCTGTTAGATCCATTTGGTTGTGGTTGTTCAGTTCTCTTTGCTGGTTGACCTTCTGCCTGTCTGTTCTTGGCTGTTTTCTAGGTCCAGTCGACGGCTCGTTTGGCATCTGTGTGTTGAAGGATGACTCCAAGATCAGCATTGAACCGTGAGTGAGATGGACATAGAACCCGAGGATCCTCCCAGATTGGGGTGATTCCACCCCCAGTTTTCCGCAAGGGAGCAGGTCCAGGAGCAGAGCCACCCTGGCATGAGAGCTTGGGGGACTTGCAGGGAGTTCCCTCAGGAATCCTTCTGTCAGGACTTGCCAGGGCCACATTTGTGGGCACAGAATGTCCTGGACCCTGGGGTTCTAGTAGAATCAGTGATGGCTCTGTGCAAGGCTTCTGAGCTCCCAGGGAGTGTGGTGAGGTGGGTGTGGCCCCCAGGTATAGAGATGCCCTTCCCTGCCCTGGACCCCAAAACACGCACTTGAAGAAAGCGTCCCCTGAGAGGTTTTGGAAGTGCGTGCTCACCTCTGCCATGGGTGGCATCTGAGGCATGCCAGGAACATCTGAGATGCCCACAGAGCAGGAACACAGCCCGACAACAGGCACACAGGACATCCCATCATTTTCTTTTTTAAAAGACTCTTTTATTTTGTGTGTATGGTGAAGGTTCGCACAACAGTTCAGATTTCTTTTCAACAGCTTCTTCACAAGTTATCCAGTTACATTGGTTCCATTGTTGACAGTACATGAACAGCTTTGTGATTTCCATTCTGGTTGTTCTTTTTCCATGACTCTAGTTTCCCTGCCCCAATACGATTTTCATCTTTTGAGATCACAAAACAACAAGAGGTGATATATTTTTTTTTTACCAAAAAAAAAAAAAGAAGTCCAATACTTACGGGCAATCTTACTGATTTTGTTTTTTTAAAAAGGAGGAGTCCAATAGTTAATGGCTGATCTCATGATTTTGTAAGCCGGTTTGATATTTAGCCATAAAGTAGAAGTCAGGGACTAGTTGTGGTGCATGGTTTGAAGAGTCCTGGGAAGACCTCCATCCAGTCTCAACCAGTCAGTGGCTCTGGCTTTCCTTTTCATTGGAGGGCTGTGAGGTCCTGCTCCATATTTTATTCCCCCCAGTCTGTCAGGGGACAGCAGTCAGTCGTGGTAGTGGGGTACCATCTACTTCTTGTGGTCTCAGAGTGGGTGAGGCCATGGCTCATGTAGATGGTTCGTCCTGTAGACTGGTTTCTTCTGGGGGGATCACCCCCTGCTGCCCTCCGCCCCCCACCCTCTGTTGGGGTCCCATTGACGTCTCCCACATGTCTGTGTGTGGCCCACATTTCAGACACATCAACATTGGAAGCCGCTTTCAGGCCGAGATCCCGGAGCTCCAGGAGAGGTCTCTGGTCGATGGCGACGAACACATGGCCGCTCTGGTCTGGAAGCCGTGGGGAGATGTGACCACCAACCAGGAAACGCAGGACCGAGGTGGCTGAGCCCCCGGCTTTCTCCTCCTGGTTCTCAGATCGCCTGAGAAGCGCTGCCCTCTGGTGGCCGCTGGCCACTTCTCCTGGGCGAAATTCCCTGTCCCTCCGTGTCCGGCACAGGTGGCAGAAGCACCTTCCCCTGGTTCCTCTCATCGCTCAGCCTGTCTCACCCGTGGCGTGGGAGCGGGCAGGTCGGAAGGTGGTTCTCAGGCCCTGATGGCCCAGACGGTCATCACACTCAGCTGCTACCTGAAAGGTTGGCGGTTCAAGTCTACCCAGAGGTGCCTCAGAAGAAAGGCCGGGCGGTCTGTTTTTAACACATTATTGCTGGGAAATTCCACAGAGCACGTGGGATCACCAGGCAGCAAGATGGGCTGGATGGCAGCTGGTCTTTGTGTTGCACACGTACGGGAAGTCCACATGTGGGCAAGAGACACAAACGAGTTGTGTTTGAATTTACACAGGAGGGGAAGGCCCTCGATGAGGTGGACTGATTGAGTGACTGGGGTAATCAGGATGGGTGTGTCAGAGGCAGTGCGATTGGCACAGGATAGAGCAGGGTTTAGGGCTGTTGTACACAGGGTCGCTATGAGTCGCAAGCGACTTGACAGCACATAACAACAACAGGGGAAGGGCAGGGTGTGGTGGGGCCAGAGGCCACAAGAAGCAACCGTGTATAAACAATAAAGACAAGTGGATCATCTGTTCTCAATAAAGTGGTATGAACAGGCCACACACACAAAAAAAGACAAGTGGGTCTAGTTATGTTTTCAGATCGTACATACAATTAGAAGTCTATGAAATACACTTACCTACAGGAGAAGATTCAATCCTAGGAACCCCAAACCTAGTGTCCTGGGTCGATGCCGCTCCCAGAAACGCTGTAGGACAGAGTAGAATTCCCATAGGATTTCTAAGGCTGGCGTCTGATAGGAGCAGACTGCCACATCTTCAATAGCGTGGCTGGTGGGTTCAAACCTTGGACCTTTCAGCATCCAAGTGCCGCCTCTTCTCGTGAGTGGGTTTGAACTGCCCAAACTCTGGGTAGCAGCTAATGTCTAACCACTGTGCCGCCAGGGTGCCCCTCTTAGACTCCCCCGGAGAGGCAGATTATTAGAACTTGGCCTTTAAGGCCCCGTGGAATACTGTCCCCCTCAGCTGTGTGGATGCCCACTGGACAGCAGCAAGTCGTCTCTTAGGTCTGGGGGAGGTTCCCTCTCTCGCTCCCACCTGCTAACTCCTCTGCCTCGCCTCTTCCTCCCTCCCTCGCTGTGGCGGCTCCCCCGGGTGGACACAGTGACGGAGCTTTGCAACGTGGCCTGCTCCAGCGTGATGCCAGGCGGGGGCACGAACGTGGAGCTGGCGCTGCACTGCCTGCACGAAGCCCAGGGCGACGTCCAGGTGAGGTGGGCTGGGGGCAGGTGGTGGGAGCGCCCCGGAGGCTCTGGGGTGGGGCTGTCAAGTGGGGACTGAAGGCTGACGTCAGACCGCTTGTCAGACCTCGTGGTCTCCGCATTGTCCTGGTCTTTGTAAAAGATGCTCAAGTGTGGGCTCACTTTACGGGAGAAAGACCTGGTGAACAGTTTATATTCTATAAAGATTAAACCAGAAAAATACCTAAACCCAACTGCCATGGACGCCCAACTCAGCAACCCTGTGTTGGGTCTCTGGAGCTGTAAATTGCACAGAAGGCTTTACACCTGTCTTTATCATGGCTTTGTTCACAATAGCAAAGAGTTGGAAACAACACAAGTGCCCATCCACAAACAAATGGCTAGAGAAGCTGTGGTATATTCACACAATGGAATACTACGCCGCTTTGAAAAACAAGGAACTCGTGAAATATACAAAATGGGTGACCCTGGAGAACATTATGCTGAATGAAGTATCTCATTCACAAAAGGACAAATACTGCATGGTGCCACTGTTGTAAAATGGACTGACATCGGGGTTGGGGGGAAACTTAAGAGGGGTTTAATAATGTACACGGCATTGAAACAGATGAGGGAGAGAACTGTTTAGGAGGAATATAAGATAGGTATTATTGTCATGAAAAGAGTCCGGAATGAAAGCTGCATAGTGGAGTGGACTGGGGGGAGGGGGGAGCAGATTGTATAACAATAAGAATTTTTTTTCTTAATTTTCAAAGAGAAGTAAAATGGGTAGGGGTGGGCAGGGGGGAAAGTGTGCAACAGTGAATGACTGGAAATCCAAAGTCTCCATAAACGTTCATTAAAATGAATTTTAAAAAAAATAATAATTGCACAGAAGGATATTGCCCGTCTCTATCCCTTGGAGCATCTGGTGGATTGGAACCTCATGCCTTCGGGCCGATAGTGCAGCTCCTTACCCACTAGGCCACCCTTCAACTCTTCTTGTTCCAGACTGCCCTGGAGATGCTGCTGCTCAGAGGACCCCAGAAGTCACCGCCTCACCCGCTGGCTGACTATCGTTACACAGGTGACTGGGGAAGGCTGCCAGGATGGCGTGTGTCCCCGGTCCTGGGAAGCCAGTCACCTCTGCTGTCGGTCTCGGCCTGTGTCTCTGAGGGTCCTCTCCTTGCCTACCTCTCTAGAAGGGCCCTCCATGGAGCAGAGGTTCATGCTGACACACACAGAGTGGCCAGGAGTTAGTCAGCTCCACGGGGCCTGGTCAGCTCATTGCTTTTGACCCTCTGGAGGCTTTTCAGAGGCTAGAAATTTCAGATGGAGATCTCCCAGGGAGAGAGAAATCCCTTCTAGCAGCTGGTGGATTTGAACTGTCTGCCTTTAGGTTTGCAGCATGACACCTTGTCCACTGAGCAACTGGCTCTGCTGCAGTAAAGCAAGCTAAGGGCCCAGCAGAATTTTGGACACTTCTGTTGTGCTCAGTGTGTCCAGCTTTAGAGAGGATAGTGGTCTGCACTCGGCCAAGGCTGCAGTTCCGGGAGACGTGTCCGTTCTCTGTGGCTCTTTTTCTCCAACAGGTTCGGACGTCTGGAGCCCTATGGAGAAGAGACTCTTTAAGAAGGCCTTCTGTGCCCACAAGAAGGACTTCTACCTGATTCACAAGACGGTAAGGCAAACGTGGGCTGGCACAGACATAGCCTCACCGCACACAGCCGAGATGAGCTGGAGCCCAGACCCTCTGGCCCCCTTGCTGCCTGGGCAACTCACTGCTCATTTTTGTAAACAGTTTATAATTTTTTTTTCTCTCTTGTCAACTCAAACTTTATTGGGGAGGCCTGACTGCCGCAAGGGTGCCGCCTGGTCCGCTCCACCTTCAGGTGGCCATCTCCGGCCACTCCCCGCCCCTGGACAGCAAGATCTCTCTCACTCTTGGTTCCCCGCCCCCCCCCCCAAATCTGGGCTGCGTGGACCACTCACAGCTCCCGAGGCGTCCGTGGCAGCGGTGACGTCCCGATCCCCGGTGCTGCCGCAGCCTGAGGCGGAGGGTTTTGTGATGGCAGCAACGCCTGATAGGTGGTTTTGTTTGATTTTTTGGTGGTGGTGGTCGTTCTTTTTCTTTCTTTTTTTTTAATTTATTATTAATTCCAGTGAAAATTTACAGAGACTTTGGATTTCCATTCATTCATTGTTGCACTTTTCTCCCCTCTCATTCCCCCCGCCCCAGTACACCACCCTCTTGGAAAAGTAAAATTCTTTCATTGTTTTACAATCCCTCCCCCCGGTCCACTCCACTACACAGCCTTCTCTCTGGACGCCAGTCATAACAATAATATCTAGTCACATATCCCTTTTAAACAGTTTTCTCCCTCATCTGTTTCAATACAATAGACGTTATTGAACCCATCTTTCTCAGTCTCCCCCCAACCCCAGTGTCAGTTCTGTTTTACAACAGTGGCACCATGCAGTATTTGTCCTTTCGTGACTGACATACTTCACTCAGCATAATGTCCTCCAGGGTCACCCATTTTGAATAATATTGAATGAGTTCCTTGTTTTTCAATGCAGCATAGTATTCCATTGTGTGAATATACCACAGTTTCTCTATCCATTCGTTTGTTGATGGGCACTTAGGTTGTTTCCAACTCCTTGCTATGGTGAACAAAGCCGCGATAAACATGGGTGTGCATATATCTGCTTGGATGTCAGTTACAGTTTCTTTGGAGTATATTCCCAGTAGTGGAATTGCTGGGTCAAATGGTATCTCTATTTGCAACTTTTTGAGAAAGCGCCATACCGCCTTCCACAGTGGTTGTACCAACAGTTGATAGTTTTAACATGCTGTAAAATGAATGTGGACAGCATGGGGAAGGCCGAGTCTGACTTACGAACTTGAGAGAGGGGAACTTGCTTCATCAGTAACATCCGCAGTACAAAACTAATTATAGAAACTAATTGTTGTTGTTATTATGTGCCATCGAGTCGCCTGCAACTCATAGCGATCCTGTGTACAACAGCCCTAAATCCTGCTCTGTCCTGTGCTAATTGCAATGTCTCCGACACACCTACTACCATTACCCCAGTCACTGAATCAATCCACCTCATAGAGGGTCTTCCCCTGTTGCACTGTCACTCCACCCTCTCAAGCTTGACGTCCCTCTCCAAGGACTGGTCTCTCCTTACAACATATCAAAAGTATGTCAGACAAAGCCTCAGAATCCTTGCCTCCAAGGAGCAGCCTGGTTTAACCCTCTCCAGGAAAAACCTGTTCGTTTTTTTGGTCTTCTTTTAGCAGTCCACGATATATTCAATACTCTTCTCCAGCATCACAGCTCAAAGGCATCAATTCTCCTTCTATCCCCCTTAGTCATTGTCCAGCTCTCTGATGCATAACAAGTGATTGCGGAGGCCATGGCCTGTATCAGACGCACCTTAGTCTCCAGAGAGCTCAAACATGGTCTCCCACGCTCCTGCACCTACTTCTAATTCCAGCACCGCCACATTTAACTGCTCTGCTGGACCCGAAATGCACTGCGATGACTACCCAGACGTCACTGAACCCTATTCCTGGTTATGGGGTTTATGAGAGAAGTTAACAGGCTGGCTGTCTAATCATTCACATTGGCATCAGGATATAATCCCTCATTCCAGACAGCTTCTCAAGGATGGTTGCAGGCCCTCTGACCTCTCAGATCAGTGTTACACAAGTTCCCTTAGTCCTGCCAGTGATGGGGTCTTCCCTCAGTTCTCCAGCAAGCTTGGGTGAAGTCCTCCGGCTCCGTAGGGCGGCAGTCCCAAGTCAGCTCTGTCTCACCTTGGTCTCTGGTTCACTGCTGAGACAGCTGTTGAGCTTGCCCAGAGCCCAGCTTGGCTGGTGCAGGGATCTTTGACCCTGAAGGGCCTGCACTGCTTCCTCTTCCCCATTGGTGTTTGATATTCCCAATTTCTGCCTCTGAATCTGCTCGGTTTAAACCTACTGGGATGGTGAGACTAGACAGTCTGCTTGTGGATAGACTATCTGTGTGATGCTGCACAGGCGAAAGTCAGTGGCTAGGGAAAGCTATCTTGAGCAGTAAACCACATGAGCTGTGAACAAATCCAGACAATCCTGAAATGCATTATGTGCTCAAAACAAATTCCTCTGGGCCACTGCATTCTCGCAGCCCTGAGCGAGGGCTCTGACTGTGATCCCTTGGCCAGGGGCCCTTGGAGGCGTTTCCCCTGCAGCGGGAGAACTCACCAGCGTCTGTGTGCAGGCACATTGGCGGGGAGGAGCGTGAACTCTGTCTCGTGTCCTGCTGTTTACAGCAGAAATCCTTAACTGAAGCGTTGTTGTTGTGTGCCGTGGAGTTCATAGCGACTCTGTGAATTTAATCCATCTGAACCCACGCCCTCGTCACAATCTCTGTCGGGCTCAAGCCCACCGTTCCTGCAGCCACTGAGGCAGACCATATTACTGAAGGCCTTCCTCTCTTCTCTGGCTCTCTCTGCCTCTCCCAGCATGATGTCTTTTTCCAAGGATGGGCCCCGCTTGAAAGCAAGTTCAAAGTATGAGAGAAGTGTCACCATCCTTTGTTGTTATGTGCCATAGAGTCTCTTGCAACTCATAACACCGTTCATGCCAACTTTTCCATCTCAAACACACTCATTCCCGCCACTCCACTCACAGAATCGGTCCATTTCATCGAGGGTCATCCTTTCCTTCGCTGCCCCTCCACTCTCCCAAACATGATGTCCCTCTCCAAGGACCAGTCCCTCCTTGCAACATGCCCAAAGTATGTCAGACGAAGCTTCAGAATCCTTGACTCCAAGGAGCAGCCCGGCTTCACCCTCTCCAGGAAAGACCTGTTTGTTCTCCTCACAGTCCATGGTATATTCAACACTCTTCTCCAGCACCACAGCTCAAAGGCATCAGTTCTCTTTCTCTCATCCCTATTCACTGTCCAACTCTCCAATGCGTAGCAAGTAATTGCCAAGACTCTAGCCTGGATCAGGCGCACCTTAGTCTCCAGCCTGACGTCACCATCCTTGCTGAGTCAGTGTTGACATGTGTCCATCCCCTAACGCCATCGCCACTCCATCACCACTGTCAAGGCCATGAACAGAGCCGTCACCCCCACAACTCCCTGTAATCCTCCTCGCTCCCGCGTCTCCCTGTTGCCCGGGGCTCCCTGTTGCGCTGTCCGTCATTGTACGTTTAGAATTTCTGGCATCATACATAAATTGGATAATCCTCCAGCAGGAACGCTGCATTGCCTGGTTCCCTTTTCCTCAGGGGAATTAGTTTGAGATTCACCCGTGCTGTTGAACATATCACCAGCTCACTCGTTTGTTGACTGACATCTGGGCTGTTTCTGTCTTCTTCCTATTGTGAATAATGATGTGATGAATATAGATGTGCATATTTCTGTTCCTATCTCAGCTCTGATTTCCTGAGACCGTAATCCTAGTAGTGGGCTGGGTCATAAGGGAATTCTGTATTCACCTTTTTTTTAATTCTATTTTAATTTTTTTTGGGGGGTGTGTACCCTCAAGTCGGATCTGACTGGTACCAAGAGGAGATTTCCCCTCCTTCTCCATCTGGTGGATTCAAATTGTGCACCTCTGGGATTGCAGTGCAGTTTCTTGCCCCTAGACCACCAGAGCATGCCAATATATTCACCTTTTTTTAAAAAAAATTTTCTTATTTTGTGCGTGTACCGTAAAATCAGATCTAACTGGTACAGGAGGAGATTGCGCCTCCTTCTCCAGCAGAGCATCTGGTGGACTTGAACCGCGTACCTCTGGGATTGCAGTGCAGCTTCTTGCCACTAGGCCACCAGAGCTCCCCTATATTCACCTTTTTTTAAAAAAAAACATTGTGATGAAAGTCTACAGAGATTTTGGATTTCCATTCATTCATTGTTGCACACTTTCCTCACTGCCCACCCCTCCCCCCAGTTTGCTTTTCTCTTTGAAAGGTAAAAAAAAAAAGATAAAAAAATCTTTCATTGTTAAACAATCCCCTCCCCAGTTCACTCCACTATGCAGCTTTCATTCTGGACTCTGGTCATGACAATAATACCTAATCATGTATTCCTTCTAAACAGTTCTCTCCCTCAACTGTTTCAGTATATTCACCTTTTTTGAGGAGACACCGAACTGTGTCCCATAGTGTTTTTGCCATTTTACAGTCCCCGCCCCAGCAGCGCATAACTGTTACAGTCTGTCCACATTTTCACCAACATTTGTCATTTGCTGCCCTAATAAACTTTGCAATTGCTGCTTGAATGAGATGGTATCTCATTGTTGTTTTGATTTGCAACTTTTTGCTTGTGACTTTTAACATTTCCTCATGGATGTGTTGGCCATCCTAATAACCTCCTTGGGGAAGAGTCCTTTGCCCACTTTGTAATTGGGTTACCGCCCTTTTTTCTTGGGGAGACACCATGTTATTGTTATGTGTCATCGAGTTGCTTGAGACTCATAGCGGCCCTCTGGACAAGAGCCCTAAACCCTGCTCTGTCCTGTGCCAACATCACTTTCTCAGACACACCCATCCCCATTACCCCAATCACCGAATCGATCCATCTCATCGACAGTCTCCTGTGGTATATTCAATTTATCAAGGGATGATAGAAGGAGAATTGATACAGTGGACTGTTAGGAGAACACACAGGTTCATCCTAG